GGGTGGCTCCCCGTGTTAGCATCGGCGGCGGCGGCAGCGGCGGCGTGGCTACTGGCGCCGCCGGTAGCAGAACCCCACCCTCATGCACGCTCTCTCGTGTGAGCGAACGTAACACCGAGCGACTATGCCCATCTTCCCCGGAGTCGTGCGATCTCGGGATCATCCAAGTTCATCATCCGGGGGGCCCATACAACCACCTCCCACGTACGTACCCCCAATATGAGCGCCTGCCCACACATCTGTGCCCACCTTTCCAGGAGTCGTGCGAAGTCGGGGTCGTCTCGGCAGATCACCCGGGGGCCCCGTGCAACGAAGTCAATTTGTTACAAACCCCCAATAAATTAAAACAACTGCCTGCCTAGCGATTACGCCCACCTTTCCAGGAGTCGCGCGGCGTCGGGGCCGTCGCGGTAGATGGTCCCGAACTGAAGCGTGGCCCACACGCCCACGAGCAAGACGCACGCCAAGACGTTGGCCTTGTGGACCAGCCCCAGCGTAGAGCCGGCCCACAGCAGGGTCCCCGCGCTCCAGAGGACGGCCCCCCACACGGATACCAACGCTCCCCCCTGGACGGAACCCCCCGCCGTCGTCACCGCCACGTGGAAAAAAAATGATTACTTTTGGGACGGTTGTTTTGGGACCAGGGGCGCTGATGCTGCATTGTTTACTTTATCCTTAAGAACAGCAGACTGTCACCAGATATCGAAAACAGCTTACCCTGTTCTCTTGGCGAACGGTGAAGAACCTCCGATCCCCGACCCTACCAACAAGTACAGGCCGTTCAACTGTCACTTTGGGGGAATTGGACGGACGCCATTCGTGGTCGCCAATGAGTCGGCAACCCTCCGCCTGGTTTGCCTTTGTCGGTAAGATGTTGTGCAGTTTCACGACATCAACATACGATAGACGGCGGCGTTTTGCCGTGAACGATGCCAGGGCGCGAGACACGGCGAGCGCAAGCCACTTCGTGTTGTGTGTGTGTGTCTTGGGCACCCTCACACACGCACAAGTCAGCGATAACAATCATTGCTCCAAGAAGCATGGAAATCCTGTTTCACATGCGCCTTAATAGCAGTGTCGACGAGCCCCTTATATCTGGCGTCCTTTGCTGCCCGGTGTTTTCTAACGGAAACCACTACTGGTCCTCCCGTGCTGCTTAGGGCCGTTATACACAGCAGTATTTCCAAATCTTTAAAATATCCAAATCCGTAGACCACAGAACCACGATTTGTGACCGAAGGAATTGTTGTTGGAAATTTCGAAGTTTGAAAAAGACTGGCACCGAAAAATTTGAAACGACTCGGTTCCAAATTAACTTTTGTTCAATTTGGGCATCTGAAAAAGTCGTAAATTGGAACTCACTTTTGAAGGAAAACATCTACCGGCAGCAGCAGCTGCGTGCAAAACGAAGGCCCTTACCGCATTGTCCGCAAGGTCGAAGCAGTAGCAGGCCATGACGCCGAACGCCACCCCGAGGGACGTCGGCCGACCGCCCAGGAGCAGCAGCACTCCAACGCAGGGCCCGCCGAAGGCCCACACCCTCAGGTTGTGCAAGAACTTCGGCGACGACGATCCGTCCCCGATGGCTCGTGGTGGCGCTCCTCCTCCCGGCGCTGGGACTCCTCGGGGCGTGGCTGAGGTGGTCTCCGGCACCCTGCTGCTGCCAATTCTTTGGTGGGGGCTCTGGGGTGATGATGATGCCACGGCGGGGTCGGAGGGGTGCTGTCTGTGAGTGTTTTTTCCGGGGGACGACAAGAGGGGAGCAATTTGCTTAGGCCGCGGGGTTCTTTTGGAACCCCCCCTGTGGGTTGTTGGTGTCTGCGAAAAATGTCGTGCGAAAAATGCTGTGCTCGAATTTGGAGGCTTCTCATCAGCACCCATCAAGAGGGTGCACGTAGTAAAGTAGGTTCGCACACACACGTACCGATCGGGCCTTTGGGAGCATTGTCTGTTTTCAACCGCGCTGAGACCGACGTCTTTGCATTGGTCAGTCAGTTAGCGTGGCCGTTGCTAACTGTAAAGACACCACAAACAAAAACATATCGTGTGTGCCGTGTGAATCGACATCAAAGATGCACGCGAGAGATACCGTATGCATAATTCCAAAAAACTGTGGAGTGAATACGATCCGACGACTGCCTGGTAAGCGGGGGGGTTGGCTCCCCTCGGAGATCATGGCTGACAGGGGAACGAGTTCGGTTCGTCGAACCTCGAGTTGTATCTTTCGTTGGTGAAGTGGGCGACCGCTGCATCCCACAAGGCTTCCCGTTTGCATTGACTGGGCCTGGGTTACCGTGCGTTGCATTAGAGATCACACCCGCTGGACCGATTTCCAAAGCTCGATAACTCCACAGCAGAAAACAGCCGCGGTGCCGAATCTAGTGGCGTTGGAACCGTCCTGTCCAGAGCTTTCCGAGCACGTATCATTTAATTTCGGCATCCCCTTCTTCGTGGAGTAATCAAGCCTTGAAATCGGTCCCAAGGGGGTGTGGTATCTTATGTCATATACGGTAGCCTGGTGGGTTGTTAGCCCATCTGAGTTTCAGTGACGTAGCACGGCCCACCACAAGCAGCGGCTGCAACAGCAATAGCGGCAGTAGACACCCCGTTGGGCGGTTGGGGCAACAGGGTAAACGGCGCGCGTTTGGGTGGACACGACCGATGGTGGGCGGCGCGCTGCTTCGACACTGTAGAGCAGAAAATGCATGTCGATCAATCGTTGCGTTTTTCTTTCGCAAACGAACACAAAGGGGGGATGCCACAAGCTGCACATATACAGACCACAAAAGAAAGGCACGCATGGCCATCCGCATCGTTGACGTACAGAAGTTGCATTTGCTCACCCCACAGGTAACGGTTAGCAGTGGTGACTTCGGAGACTGGAAGTCGTCCCTACTCGTGTTGCTGTGCCGTAAGCCTCGATGAAAGAGTTGGTTATTTGCGAAGCAGCACCAACACAACCAGCAAGTACAAGAAGCAACATACTGAGTACGCCGTTGCAGGCGGGTACATGGATATGCATACCCTAGGTTCAGGTCTAGTCTGTACAGCGTGGTACTATGAAACTACACAGCCGTGCTGCTGAGGAGTTGCCGCGGTTGAAAGATAGCTACGCGCGTTACAGCCCGAAGGCGTGCTGTGACTATCCAGGATATGCTCCGGTGGTTTTCACCCCTTGAGCAAAGGCGGTATGCACGGTCGAACAAGCGAGCTCCGAAACACCCCGGGTATATGTAGATTGCCACCCCGTACGGATCGTGGGTGACCGTAGACTAGACTACAGTCCAGTAGGTGCGTTCCGTGGTAAACTTATGATACAAGCCGTTTCAGGAGAGCAGAAGACGCCCGCAATTCGCCACAAACAAAGTGAACATAGAACCATGCGGAAATTATCGCGGACAAACCACACATCACCTACCGCACCCAGCAAGAGGCACAATGTCTATAGCGGCAACGCGGCAAACCTTGCACATTGCTATGCACATAGATCCGCAGCGAGGACGGTGTATTTGTGCGCAACGAGAGAGATGCTGTGAAAACCGTCGGGTTCCTCGCCTGACTTCATGCTCGTTGACCCTGGGTCCAGCTCCCGTAGGTGGCCCTGCAACGACCCTTCGACGCACAGTTAGAGATGCCATGATGGTGGTGTAGCGTGTGGTTGCAAAGCTCAGGCGGTGTGCAGCCGCGGCGAGCTGGCAGCGGCAGCTGAGTTGCGGCGGAATAGGGGTTTCCAGGAGGTTCGTGGGGCGTCGAATCTCTCCGCTCTGTCCGTAGATCCTTCCGTAGATCGTAGACGTCTGTCTGGATCCCTGGCGGCTGCTTCTGTGAGCTGCGAGCTCCTGCCGTTCTTCCCCCTTGACCCCTTTGTGCACACGCAATAGATTTGCTTAGACTCTACCGTCGGCAGAAGAGATTCAATTGCCGGTGACAATGCATTGTGCGTGGCAGCCTGCGGGATGCACAAGTCAAGATATCGGTGTGTAGACTAGACGCGGAGTTCTGAATCGGTCAAAAAGTGCGTGACGCCCCCGACACAACAAGTCACGCCTTATGCCACTGAACAGACGCTATCATGAACGATGACAGCTGTGGCCCATCGCTTTCTCCAATTGTGGTCTCCCTGCTGAAGACACTCTCTCCAGATGCGGTCTCTCTGCTAAGAGATCGATGATTCCATCAAGAAGCCACAGCAGTATAATACCTCCATGACAGCAGCAGGCGCATTCCAGGCAACCGACGCCTCAGGTCAACGACGAAAGCATGACCCCCGAGTGGTATCTCTCTTGCACAAAAGTGTGAGAACCACGACTTCGACGCTGGCAAGAAAAACGGATTTCTACATCGGCACTCAGCACCCTAAATTTTGGCGACAACAGCTTGAGGGAGGGGGCATGTCTCACGTGCATTGTTCGTTCGTCAGCTTTGATCCCACCAACAACAGCAGCTTCAGAGCAACCGCCTCGTCTTAAAGATACTTCACAAACAAGCAATCATTTCGCCAAGGTCGAGAAAAACATTTGAGAACAACATTTGTGGCACGCAGTTCGCTGATTGATAAAAAAAAAACTGCGAAAATTCCGAAAAGAACAGGCAGCGCTATCCACGGTGAAATCGAGGATGGCACCTCAGGAAATCTTGGGAGGAGCATTGTGTCTTCTGATGATGATCTTTCTGCAGAATCATCATCTTGAATGACTACGAACGGGGATGGATGGAGATGGATCCGCCGGCCGACCGATATCCACGTGTAGTTTTGTGTCGGAATCACCGAAGGATTCCTGGTCTAGTCTATATAGGCTACACATGCCGGGCGGAGAATGTTGATGTTTCCATGCTGCCTCCCGCCCATCATCCTTGCCTTGACTGCCCGTCGTCCTTTCAAGATACAGTATGTTGTACTCTGGCACGCAGTTTGTATGAGAGAGACTTCAGGGTGATACGTACGTCTCGATCCGCCGAGAGACACACAAAAAAAAAGAAAAGCCAGAAGAAGGTTCGACACGAGATTGATTTTTTGACGGAAATTGATCCCAGCGGCTGGCTGATCCGTAGTTTGCTGACTGGTCGAACAGTATCTACTCACACAAAAGGCTGGGCATTTTTTACCCACGCACCGCGCCTCTTCTTTTCTCTGTTTTCTGCGGCTGCTTCGAATCCAGCGGCGGCGCGGTGTCCCCCGACACTACTTCAATGACGACGCGCACGACGATCGATCCCGCAGCCGACGGTAGACAGACAGAAGAGAAACAAAGGTATCCACCATAGATAGGCATCCCCACACAGAACACACACACGTGGCGGATCTTACATCTCATCGTCACTCAGAGCCGGCAAAGAAACAAATTAATATTTGAAACACCTCCTTCGAATTTCCCGTGAAACAATGGAAGCGATTCTTCCCGCCCCCGCCATCACAATAAACCACGAACACAAGAAGCTTTCGCCGTGGTTGACGATTCGTCCACAACCGCCGACTTCTTTTGTTACCCAATATAAAAATTGAATAAATGCTCCGACGACACTTAAAAAAAAAAACTACTACGCCGGCAGCACGGCTCCACGGGCCGAGTACCGGTGGTGCTGCGTCGAACAGGTCGATCAGGCCGCTCCCCTGCCCGACAGGAGCAACGGCTGACGCTACCTGGGCCCTCGAGAGGGAGAGACCTACAGGCGCCAGGCGGTCTTCGAGGCCGGGTACCGCCATCGCCTGCCGTCCCCCGCCTCTCCCCGGGGCCCGGACATCGCTGGTTCAACTCGCACCCCCTCGGCGGGGATCCCGACCTCCGGGACTTCCAGACCTAGGCGAGGACGATGCTGCGCAGAGGCCCGGTGCACCCGCATGACGCCGACGCCTGGCGGGCGGCCGAGATAGGGATTTATATGTGGCACGTAATTACACATTGCTGATGGGCAAAAAAATAGCAAGTTTGGTGAGGCAGATATAGCCGATGTAGACTACTGTTTGGCAAATTTTTGATGTACCGGGACAGAGTTTAGGGTTAGGCTATTGCGGCCGAAGGCCGCAAAAAATATTGGAGACCCTTTTTTGCCCCGAGATTTGTCGCGTCCTTGTTCAAGCCGAATCTTTTCGAAAATAGCTCCGATTTCAAAACCGATTTTTGCGTACAGGGATCCGTCTTGTGTGGCACCAGTGGCTGCACTCGAGTTGGTACTTGGTTCATGAAGCCGAACGCGATTTCGTCGATACATCGCCTCCAGCGCAACTTTGTTCTTCTCTGCCGTGCGCGCGGTATTGACGTCCTTTCTCGACTCTGTCCACCAGTTGCTCAGATCGAACGGCTGCTTGCGGTTGATTTGATTGGCGGGATCTTCGCTCGGCTCCAAGCGACCGGCCTTGACGTCTCTCTCTGTTTGAGCCACGTCCTCATTCCACTGCTCCGCCCAAACATTGAAATCAATCGTTGGGGCAGGGGCTTGGCCACCAAGCCGCTGTCTCGTCTCCGGCGAGGTCAAGTACATGTACGCCTCGCGATCGAACTTGTCTTTCTCTGCCTGGGTCTGGACGGCCGTGTGAGGACGCTCTCCTTGTTCGCTCCTGCCCTTACAAACGCCTCCCGAACCAGCCCTTACAGAACCATATTTTTAACCAGACCCACATTTTCAATCACAACAGCACAAACCGGACCACCGCACCATGCACCGTCGTATCACAGAGCACACAGCAAACCAAGCAGCAGACATCCTCCTCGTGGATCTTCCCGAGAATAATGGTAGTGACGACAGCAGTGCAGAGAGCGGCCGTCTAGCGGTGTCCGCTGATGAACTAGTCTTCTCTAGACTATACTTCTATGTGGGAGTAATTTACTTCGTGTACATATATCTTGATGTTGAATCTGCCGCACTGCTGTGATATCTGCGGGCATGAGGCAGGCGGGTGGAAGGTTGCCGTATTTGAATGGTATGAATGTTGTTGAAACCTGATCACCTGGGTTGTGGTCCGTTGAGGATTGAACTGATGGGTGTAAGCTACATAGAGCATACGGGAGGTTGAAGGGAGCGCTCACATGTTGCATGGTTGGAGGTTGTGGCCACTTGATAGACTAAAGGTAATTGGTGGACGTATCCGTTTAGTTCGACGAGATAACTTTCGCTGTGCTTCGGGCTTCGCACAGTGGTCCTCTCCTTGTTCGCTCGGGGTGTGCGATCGACGTGAGCAAAAACTGCCACAAATGTTGTTGCTTCATGACACCATACTCCGTGAAGAAACAACACCGCAACACCGCCAATCAGCCACCACTACCAACCTGCAGAAAGAATGGACAACCCCATCACATTGGGGTTACAGCGGGGGATCACAAACCACAAAGTTTCCCCACCTTCAACTCCATCACAATTCCGCTCGATGTCCTCCACGACCACGCCTGAACACAACCATGGTACGCTCACCAAGTCTCAAGCAAGTGCGGTTTGCGTGCGCGCGTCTTGTACGCCTTGCCCCGCCATA